TGGAGGTGGTGGAGGTGGTGGTGGTAGTGGTGGTGGTTGCCATCAAGTCAACAATGACACATAACAACCCTACAAACAATAGTTCTGAACTCTGCCCTTTCTTGAACCAACCTTCATCATCTCTGACACATCTGCCACCATTACCACAGTCACTGTGTCAACCCATCTCATCCAGAGTTCCTCCTTTCCTATCCTGACCCTCCACCCTTCTGAGCATAAAGTCATTCTCCAAAGACTGGACCCTCCGGGCAACATGTCCAAAGTATGTGAGAGAGAGCTTGAAAATGCTTGCCTTCAAGAAGCAACCTGGGTCCCCCCTCTCCAGGTCAGACCTGTTTGTCCTCTTGGCAGTCCATGGTATGTTCAATATTCTTCTCCAAGTTCACGAAATGCATTCACTCTAGGGAGCCTCGGTGACATAGTCCATAGAGAGTTGTGCTGCTAAGTCAGTGCTCCTGTCTCTCTGGTTGTCCTAATCCACCAGAACCTCGAGGGGATAAGGGTTGACAATGTGCTCCCAGTCAATTGACAGCCTAGAAAACCCAGTGGCAGGCCAGCTATGGGGTGGTTCTGAGTCAAAGATAATGAAAAGCTGAGTCAATTCTCTTTCCATAGAAACTCTCTTACGCTGTTGGTAAGATTGTAAAATGGTCCAACCACTATGGAAGCCAGTTTGGGGTTTCCTAAAAAAGTTGAACATATAAATTCCACATGACCCAGTTATTCCACTGCTTTGAATATATCCTGAGAAAATTAGAACTGAGACACAAACTGAGACAAAAATTAGAACTGAGATATTTGTACACCAATGTTCATAGCAGCATTATTCCCCATAGCAATAACATAGAAACAGCCCAAATGTCCAACCACAATCAAATGGATTGTGAAATTGTGGTACATTCACACAATGGGATAGTATGCGGCACTCAGGAGCAATGATTTTGAAAATTACTACATAACTTGGGAGGGATTGGAGAACAACATTACGCTGAGTGAACGAACTCAATCTCATAAGGACAAATACTGTATCAGACCATTATTTTAGAAATAGAAAGATAACTAGTAAAACATGTATGAGGACCCAAGGGGCGGAAGGGAGGAGCAGAGCACTGAGGATGGGCAGGAGGGTGATCGTAGGCTCACACAATTTAATGGATGGAGGGAGGGGCGGGTAAAGGAAATGGGAAAGATCTGGCAGGAATCTGTAAAGACAGGGCAGTGGTGGGCATAGCTCAATGTTGATTAATTTTGTAAAATATAAGGAATGGGAATGATTGTATGAAACACAATGTGAATGAAGGATAGTGTGAAACAATATATACGAACTTTGTAAGCAAATCAATATAAAATAAAAAATTCTTTTTTATCTATAAGAAATAAGGTTTTCATTTATTTAAATAGAACAATCCCAGAGCAACCACAATGAAAGACAAGTTCCTGGTGAAACAGGAAGTGGGTCACCTTGATCTTCAAGCTCATCTACCTCCCAGCCATTCTCAGTGAGGTGTGCTGTGTCTCCTACCATCAAGTTGAGTGGATAGTCACTGAACAAGACACCAGAACAGAGCAGAACTGCCCCAAAGTGATTCCTAGACTGTGATCCCTGAGGGAACAGATCCCGAGAACTTTCTTCCTACAGAGTTTCTGGTGGATTTGAACCACCAGCCTTTAGGTTAGCAGCCCAGCACTTACCCACTGTGCCATGATGGTTCCTTTAAGCAAAACGAAGTGGCATTGTAAGAGACTTTTGGAAATAGATCCCCTGGGTTTGACTCACAGGTTCACTACTTAAGAATTGATCTTATATGAATGATTATATGCAAACCAATACTTATTTCTTAAAAAAAAATAATTTCTCTTTGTTGCTTCATTTCCCTGAGCCTCAGTTTCCCCATTTATAAAACTTGGGCAGTAACAGGCCCTACCTGGAAGAGTGACCATACACCTTCTCTATGTTTGTTACTGTAAGACACTTTCTCGATGCTTGACCTGTAGAAGCACGATTCAAGTGCTTGTCAGGTAAAATAGCCTTAGCACTCCAACGTGTAAAAGAGAATTGCTTAATTTGAAAGGCAGACTCTGTAGAGATAGAACAACAGTCACTCTCTGCTGTATACAATAAAAGTTATTTTCATGTTATTGATGATGTTTCATGCTCTTCATTTCATCTCCACTTTTGATTGACTGCTCCTTTGAACGCTACTTGCCGCTGTCTCTGTGTTTCACGTCACAGGCCTGGGTTCATCATGAAGGCAGAGTTTAGTCTGCTCCTAATGTTGCTAAAAATGCAGGAACTGAGTCACAGAAGGTTGACTTAGTGGGACTACACAGGCCTGTGTTATCAGAGCCATCCCTGCCCAGGTGAGCTGACACACGCCCAACACCTTGACTGGCCTTCAAATAAATATTATCTGTTTGAAACTGTTCAAACTCAGACTGTCATTCAGCTCTTCAGAGCCCACTTGCATAATGAAGACATGGGGGAAATTTACCGTGGGAGGGAAAGTGACCTCTGGCCCTGAATTCCTTTTTCTACCAGTTGGGTCTTCTAAGCCATGCTGAGTCAGCAGCTCCATTTCTGACCACGAAGCCACACGAGCTCTCATAAGCAAGTCATAATGGACTCACAACATTGCGTCAGAATGGAATCACCGCGGATGGAATGTATGAGCATTAGTGTCCCACTTAAAAACAGAATAATCTGCTTGAGAAAAGATATTTTATACTTCAGGAAACAATTAGAAATTTGGTCAATTTCAGACTGTATGCTTTGAACTTATCAAGCTTTTAAGCAAGACTCTGTAAGGTCTAAGACATGTGCCCTTTAAGTCTCGTGCCCTTTAAGGACTATTGCATGGAAATGAGGGCCTCAGTGCCTAGCAAAAGCAGATCCAGCAGTGCTGTTCCTGTTCTAGAAAGTCAAGGTGCGCCACTTGGCCTCCTGAAAGAAGCCCTTCCTTACTGTGCACGCGACAAAGAAACAACCACTTCATTTATCATTCATACCAAAGGAAAACACCGGAAAGAGTATTTGAAAGGGAACTCACAGGCTTTCACTCTGGTTTCAGAGCGACCATTTGCTCTGAGGACTTGAGCTCACTGTTCTTCCCCTCTGGGTACTTGGTGTCAATTCGAGACACTACGTATAGCACAGCCGTAATACGAGCATTCCCAGTGCAGGCATCCACTGTTTACCCAATAATCTGATGAGATAAGATTGTATTTCTCTGCAACAGCCTTCTCCTAATGCCTCAAGGAAGTATTTCAAGTAAATCATTTCAGAGAAGATACCTTAAGACTATAAATAAACATTCTGATACTTGATGTATTTTTCCATCCGATAGAGCATTCAGTGCATAGAACAGATGGTTCTAATGGTTTAAGGACAATATAATGATAAAGGGCTTGAGAGTTAGGACGTGTCAACAAAACATTCAAAATAAATTCCCACGTTATTGTTGTTGTTGTTAGAATAAAAGATTGAGCTTCATTTTTAAAAAAAATATGACTGAGCAAGTTTATACTAACAAAAAATGAAATCTTCAAGTAGAGAAT